AGAGTGTGTTGCTGCCCTATTTTTATATGGGAAAGTGGGGGGAAAAAATGAAGGAGAAACGAAAATGAAGAAAAAGCTCAAGATAATAGTGATGGGTGATGTAAAACATCTTCTTACCCAGACAGCACAACTTTTGAGTTACAGAATAGTGATGCTGTCTAAAAAAGAAAGTTACTTTGGGAATATACCACTTTCTTAGTATAGTTTCTTAAAAATAGTCCTTTATCTCTGTGAACCCTTTTCTTGTCTTTGTTTCCCACCCTACTTATCGGGAACACCCCATTCTGAAGTGATTTCACCAAAAGTAAATGCATTTGTTTTTTCATCAGAAGAACTGTAAAATTCCAAATGTTCTTTTATGTGGTAGGTTTATTTTCAAGAAACATTAGGTTGCATTGAAAACCTTTAATATAGGCTGTACCAAACTAACTACTCTTTCCTGTAACTGCCTTTCATTCATTTCCCTCTATAATTGCTCTGTATTAAAATAGAGGGTAAAAAGGCCATCGCCTGTTACCAAAAATATACAGAACTCTTGACCTATGAGGTCATTTACAGTCGTGTGAGTTGATTAGGTTGTCAGGTGGTAAAATCCAGTAATCTGTCTCCAGGTGAATGTAATCTACTTCCCAGGACTTTACCCAGAGGATGTGTTCTCCAGGTGGGCAGAGTACGGTTGATCTCTAGCCCAGAGATTCGGGCCTCTGCATGATTCTCAGGTCTCTGTGTGTATCTCCCATTTAATAGAGAACTTTAAGAGAAGTTGTGAAAGGGTATCACTCCTGCTTCTGGAGCAGTTCAGGAGTCCCATGGAAGAAGGAAAAACACATGAGTCTTGGCAGCCACCGTATTCTTTTTATCCAAATGGATTGGAAATATATTTGAAAATCTGAATGCTAGTGTGTCATAAAGAGTCTGCCATAGAGTCATTGAATTGGCACTCCTGATACAAGTGAGGGCTTTATTATAATACTACTGTAGAGTGTATGTGTGCAATAAGTTGATGAATTCATTTCCTTGGTGTATAGAAGAGCCAACACAAGCAGCTTGGTAATCACTGGGTGCTAATATAGTTGTTTGTAGCGAGTGCTATTTTCCGGGAGATGGAGCCAGTTAGGTTTGGTTTGTCTACTGAATATCAAACGATGCTCTTCTTTCCCTGTAGACCTTCAGCAAAAGCAGGTACTTGCAAGCCACAGGCTCACCTTCTCTATCTACTCAATAATTATTAATGAAGAGACCTCCATAAGGGAGCATTTGGCTGTTATCGATAAATGTACCAATTATTAAATAATTAGTCTCCAAGCCATTCAGTGATGTCTGCAGCATCACTATAGAACTGTGTTGCATCACTTTTTACTTCCCTCTGGGTGGGGTCTTTTCAGACTCCCCCAACCACGGAGGCAAGTTAATCTTTCTCTCCAGTTAGTGACTTTTGCCCCATAGTTGGGTAAGCACTTCCTAGATTGAGAAAAGCAGCTACAGTAAATCCTGCTGTTTCCTTCATTTGATGATCATTCAATCACACATAAGCTCCTTGTATTCTAAATTTCATGCACTTCTCCCAGATGCTGTAGGGTTTTCTCTCACTGTTGCCAGTTGATGTCATCCGGACAGTGAGTTCATATCTTATGGTTTTGTGCAATCATTGTTGTATTGTAGTCCTAAGACTCATGATAGTGTATTTTTGATATTTTTGAAATGTGTTAAATTTTTTAATTCAATAATATGAGCCAGAGCATGTTGCAGCAAATCTATTGTTTGTAAAAAATAACAATAACAATAATAAATAAAATAAAATGGAGTATCTTTTTCATGGCTTCGTTTTAAAATGGAATACCTATTGTTTTATAAATATTTTATTTTGGCATGAAACTGTAATTTTCTCTAACTTGTATGTAGAATTAGTTTCTTAAACAGAATTTTTTTTGCCTTTTTTTTTTTTTTTTTTTTTTTTTTTTTTTTTTTTGCTTTAGAGGAAGATAACAGATGAAACCACATTCCATGGCACTCTATGAAGCTGTGAGTTAAGGCAAGAATATTTTTGGTCACCTCTTAAGCTGAAATAGCAATAAAGGTTTTTTACATTAAGAAACCTATTCTGACTTGATTTATATAAATCGTTTAAAGAAATCCCAAAGACAGGAAACAGTCCTTGTTCACATGCAGATTGTTAGCTGACTAGAGGTAACTCAATTGTAAGTAATTTACAGTTCTTAAATCGTACAGCTGATGATAACACAGAAGAGCCAGTTGGATAATCCAGCTGTCTGACGTGTTTGTCCTAATGTAATGGTTTCGGTGTCAGAACTTCAGACATAGTGGTGGTTTTGACTCACAAAATACTTACAATCCAGTTAAGCCTCTAAATTGTCCTCCCACCTTCCCCCCGCTGCTCGTCTCCCATAATCTGGACTTCCAGGCAAGATGAGGTTCCTTTCCAAATAACAGCCAAATTGAAATCATTTTGCAGGTTTCCTCCTTATCTAGCCGAATGAATACTTTAAAACCTGGGCTCATTACCTGTTCATTGAACACCTTCAATGTGCTGGGCCCAAGGGCACCATCTGTATATGCTTTAATGCCTGAATTTCTTGAGACACACAGCTCCCTATTTCGGGGTGGCAGAAGTCAAATCTTCCTTCTCTGCTTTGTGTGATATTAATTCGCTGGTACCCCAAAGGCCACAAGAGTACCTTAGTCTCTCATAATACGTTCTGAACATATTGGGTTAGTTTTGTGTCTACTACTTAAAAAATTTGACTTGAGGCAAGTTAAATAGCCTTTCCAAGACTCCGTTTTCCTCAGTTGTTAAATGGAAATACCACCATCTCTCCCATCAGTTAGTTGTGAGCTTGAATGAGATCGTGTGAACAAATGCTGCCTTAGCCCAGTACTGGGCCTGGTATATTGTGAGCACTCAACAAAAGGTCAGCTGTTAGATAAGCCACTTAACCTCAAACCTTCATCTCACCTGTAGCAAGTGAACAGTAAGTCCTGATTTGCCTATCAGACAAGTAGTAGAAAATAAGATGAGGTTTGCTAAAGCCTTTGGACATTATGAAACTCCACACGTGGAAGGTTGTGATTTACAGTGACAGATGGACTCCGATCCCTCAGAAGGAGGGGAATCTCGGGAGCAGTATTGCAGCTGCCCTGGGCACAGTGCTGGGGTCTAGATGGGTCAGAGTCCCCATTTCATGGGGAAAGCTATAAGAGGAACATGTCTCGGGAGATAATGCGGGGCCGGGGGCAGTGCAGGAAGGCTTTTCTGGGGTGTGTGTGAGGAACGGGTTCTTTGATTTTTGCTGCTGTTAAATTTCCTGTGTACCACTCAGTTAAAAGCTGTGGGACTCTGGCCACCGCCTTGAGGCCAAGGGTGACAGTGGAAGAAGCAGCTTTCTGCGGCACAGTGTTTTTATGTTAACCTAGTAATGCAGATTTTCAGTTGATTATTTTCCTCCAAGCTTTACTTTTTGTAGAAGTATAATTAGATATTTTCTCATTTCTGTATGAGGTTTTGTTTTGATCCTTCACCTTCAATAGGTTCTATCAGAAATAGCTGTTGAAAGGACAGGAGAGGAAAGGTAATATGTTCCAGGGAGGAGAGCAGTTGGGGGGGTAAGGAGGGGGAAAATGACATTGACTTAGTTTTCTTTCATTGCCATTTTCACATCTGTTGAAAGAGGCTTATGTTTGCTGATTTCTTACTAACTGTAAATTAGAGAATCTGACATTTATGTCAAAATTGCATTGTGGAAATAGATTGTTCCTAGAAATGTACTAAGAATTTGAACTTATTAATAGTTTAACCTCATTTATAATACGAAAGTAAAACTGATATTACAGAAAAAAACAATTAGCTATTGAAAAGCAAGAGAGCAATTAGGGAAAAAAACTGTCATAAGAATGCATGTATTTCTAGGTGCATTTAACAACTGAAAATCTGAGACTAGTAAAGTATAAGAACAGCTATAAAACTTTAGATTAAAATAAGTGAAAAACTTTATTTTTAATAGTCAGTGTTAATGATCTATTACATTCTGAAAACAATCCAGGGTCCTGAGTGATTACAATCTACCTTTGAAGGGCTCCTCTAGAGGGGACTGTCAGGGAATGGAGAAATGAAGAAGCCTCCAGTAAGCCTTTCTAGTCTGATAAAATTCACTACATTTTATTTTTGATATCAGTTGAATAACACATTTAAGAAGTTTATGAATTTTGTTTCTATCTGGAAGCCTCATATTTAAGAAAATTATAAGATATTTTAGGAACGTGAAATCCAATTGAATGGCTTGCAGCAAAAAAGTAACTTGGACGCTGGCAGAAAAACCCTTTTTTCTCAGCCCTAATGCAGGAATCCTGAGGGGGAACATTCATTCTCAAAGCATCTCCCTTCATGCATCAGGAATCCTGGCTCTCATCTGTAAGGGAGGAACGCTCCGTTGGACCCAGGCAGTCAGGGCACACTGCTGTACCAACAGAGTGGCTTCCTTCTAAGAGAGTCAGAATGTAATTACTCATTTAGAACTCAATCATCCAACTGCTTTAAAATCATTCCCCTGGGACCAAATACGGGGGGCAATGGCACGTCTCTTTTGGTGACCTTAAGTAGTTATGACAGGAAGATATTTCTACTGTAACACTGGACCTGCTACCCCGGATGTGTAATTCTCATCTCTCAGAATTTTTCTGGCTATGTAGCTATTATCATGATTACCTTACCATCTGGTAAGAGAGCCACACCATAAAGGCATCCCCAGACTTGCAATGTTGCTCTTTGTTGCAAAGGTGGAGACATCTTTTTCAAGCTCTCAGCCAACAAAGACTTACTGATTAAAAAAATGAAATGATCATCTAGCTTTGCACTGGTACCAGAGGGAACATTTGTAAAATCAAGTATGTGAAGAACCATAGTTGTGTAATGTGCCACTTTAAGGGACACATCTTTTTGAGAGAAACAAGGGAGGTGGGTTGCCATTTAGGTTCCAGAAGAAGTCTCAGAGCGTTCCTGACCACAGGTATTCAGGCGCGTCATTGTAATTTCTGTTCTGTGCTTGGCTGTCTTTGTAGTGCTTCTGTTCCTGGTAGCTCCGCAGGGCCAGCACTACGCTGGCACCGTACGTAACCACCAGAAGACAAGCAAAGGTGGCTGCTGCTCCATCAGTGCCTGCCAGCTGGCAGTTCATCCAGGTGAGACCCTTGCGGGCATAGAGCCGCGCTCTGGCTCCGCAAGTGTCTGTGGCATTGATCCGCAAGGCTACGTGGAGGTAAGTGCCAATGCCTACGCTGTAGCTCACTGCCGCCAGGAGGCTGAAGGCAGCCTCCAGCAGGAGCCACTTCGCCGACAGTTTGGTTAGACTTTTGGCTCCTTGGAGTAAAACGCCCATAGTAAGGACACCCAGCCCCAGAGAAACAGCCACACCGCCATATATCAGGGGTGCCCGGAGGACTGTGTACTGCTGGTCCAGCTGCCGAACCTGCTCCAGCTCGGTGCCCTCAAAGGGTGAGTAATAGTTGTTCCCAAAGCCGCCGCCACTGGTGAAGCTGGCACTGAATCCAGCAAGGACAAAGTAGGAGGCCACGATACACATGAGAACCATCCCATTCAGTATCACCTCCACTATCTGTACCACACCTAGGAGGAGAGAGATTCGGGATTTAACACTGACGTCACTCACACCCAGGAAAATTGTAGGTCAGATCAGAGAAGTACCACTGGGGCCCTGATTTGAAGGACACGGTCGGATTTAACATTAACATCCGTGGTTTTTGTTTTTTTAATACTCATATGTTCGAAAAACAAAATGCCACTCTGGGAAAAAAATTTTGTCAGTTTCTTAAAAAACTAAACATACTTACCATGTGACCCTACGACTGTACTCTGGGAGCACTCATCCTCAAGAAACAAAAACTTCAAAGTCCACACAAAACCGTGTACACAAAAGCTCACAGTAGCTTTGTTTGTAATAGCCTAGTGTCAGAAACCCAAATGTCCCTCGGTAGCGAGCGGTTAATCAGGTACATCCATACTGTGGAAAACCCCTCAGCAATTAAAAGAGAAGGAGCCGTTGACACATGCAACAACTTGGGTGGATCTCAAGGGAATTATGATGAGAAAAAAGCCAGTCTCAAAGGTCACACACTGTATGATTCCATTTATGTAACAGTCTCAAAATGACAAAATTAGGGAGACAGCACACAGTTTCATGGTTGTCAGGGGATGGGGACGAGTGGGGAGGGGTTGCATTGTGACTATAAGGGGGGGAAGCCCTCGGGATGCCTGATGATGGAACAGTTCTGTAGTTGATGGTAGTGGTGGCCACATGAATGTAACACATGACAAAACCACACAGACAGGAGTGCTTGTAAAACTGGTGAAGTCTAAATACGCTCAGGAGACTGTCAATGTCCCGGATACAGTATCACACTATGGTTATGCAAGATGCGGCCATTGTGGAAAACTGGGTTAAGGGTATTCAAGTTCTCTGTACTGCTTTTGTAACATTTTGCGAATCTATAATTATTTCAAATCTTCAAGTTTTTTTTAAACTAAAAATGACATGAAAAGGTATAAACTGAGGGAAAAAAATCACTCATGTCCCTGTCCACCCTGCTCTCTACCCCCAACCACCTTCATTATTTCCTGATGTAATTTTCCAGTGTTCTTTATGCAAATAAAAGCACACTCAAATCAGCATTTCATCACTCCTGCCCTGCTTTTTTCACCAGGAAGCATTCCGCACACATTGCTCTGAGTCTTGTTTTGTTCATTTAACTATTCCTGGAGATGTTTTCAGATCAGCTCCGACAGTGTCCACGTACTTTGTTAAGTAGCTTCCAAAGTCACTCTGTGGATGGCCCAGTCTATTCAACTGATGGACACATGGGCTGTTCACTTGGGGGTTTCTTTTGAGTTTAAGGGATTCACAAATGCCGCAAGGCAGGAGGAATCAACAGGCGAATGGAGACTGAATATCTTCTTGTCCAAGGTCAGCTTTCATTCATCATGGACAGAGGCCATAGCCTCTGCTTAGGTGTACTTGTGGGAGAATGTCTCCTGTCATTCTCCAGGGTTCAGAGATGAGAACTAAGAGGAAAGCACATGACCCCTCCAGTGGGAACACCAGGTTCACATCCCCACACTTAACTGCTGGTGATCTTACCCCAGTCACTGACTCGAAGCCTCACACACTTCATCTGACGAATGAAGAGAACTGCCTGCCTGTCTTATCCCACAGGGTGGGGTGAGACTTGATGAAATCAAGTACATGAAAATACTTGGAAAATCATAAAATGTTACACAAGTGGATGGTATTGGAAGGGGCTTAGTGAGAGATTTAAGAAATTGGACAAGTGTGGTTTCCCAGAAATCAGGAAACCTCTCTAATACATTAGACAGTACCACAGTGTATAAAAACTGGACAGCTAGAGATGCCTGGGTGGCTCAGTCAGTTAAACATCTGACTCTTTAAAGTTTATTTATTCTGAGAGAGAGAGAGAGAGAGAGAGAGAGAGAGAATCCCAAGCAGGCTCCACACTGTCAACACAGAGCCGGACATGGGGCTCAGACTCACAAACTGTGAGATCATGGTCTGAGCAGAAACCAAGAGTCAGACTCTTAACGACTGAGCCACTCAGGCTCCCCATTATCTGATTCTTGATTTTGGCTCAGGTTATGATCTCAGGGTTCTTGAGATCAAGCCCTGCATCGGGCTCTGCACTGACAGTGAATGCCTGCTCTGTCTCCCTCTCTCTCTCTCTGCCCCTCCCTGGCTTGCTCTCTCTCTCTGTCTCTCAAAACAAACAAAAACCTGGGCAGCTAAATACCAGTTTCTCTAACATACTGGCTTTGCTGATCCTAACTCCTGCAAGGCCCACACAAATTCCTAGGAGGTCCATGGGACACAGCAGCCAAAGGCTTTAACGGTTGAGGAGCTACATTCCTCTTATTTAAATTTGAAGATAACATCAGATCAGAACTGCCCACTCTCCACCCAAGCACCATAAACTACCGGCCACTTGCTCCCTCTAGCAGAGCAAGTGAATTGGCCCAAATATCATTCTAATTCAGGGGGAGTAGTTATCCTCTACATAGAACACCTCTCTCTGCCTTGGCTTTCCTTGTGTACGTGTGTTAACATCTCTCCCCCTGAAGGGAAGCAGGAACACCATCCTTCTACCAGATGGGGAAAGCTGTCCCTTCTGGGACAGATTCTGCCCAAACAGTAGAGTCATGATCCACACAGCATGTATCTGCTAGGATGACATGAAATAAATCTAGATCTTGTCAACTACCCCCCTGGGCTACAACAGTTGAGAGGAATAATGGTCTGTTGCTGGGTCCAGTGATGTGGGATCTGTGGAAGGAATATAGCCACTGAATATTATCACAGTACCAGCCAGGCCTGGCCTGGCTTAAGCTATTAATATCATACAGGCTCACCTATTTCCAACCTTGCTGTTAGTGCAGAAAGATTCACAGCCATTAGAAGAGGAAAAAAAATGCTGACTGCCAGAGCTAGGAGTTTATCTCTATGGTGGGATGGGTCAAGTCTCCAGAAAGAGCAGAAGGCTCTGTAGAAGGAAGTGGAGACTGAAACAGACATGAGATTTTTGTTATAAATGGGGTCTTTCTGGGTGAGGCTGGTTTTGTGGCTGAACATGTAATATTCTGCTTAATTATACATCTATTTCTGGCCAACCGACACATGAAAAAATGCTCAGCATCACTCATCATCAGGGAAATACAAATCAAAACCACAATGAGATACTACCTCACACCTGTCAGAATGGCTAACATTTACAACTCAGGCAAACAGATGTTGGCGAGGATGCAGAGAAAGAGGATCTCTTTTGCACTGTTGGTGGCAATGCAAGCTGGTGCAGCCACTCTGGAAAACAGTATGGAGGTTCCTCAAAAAACTAAAAATAGAACTACCCTATGACCCAGCAATTGCACTACTAGGCATGTATCCACGGGATACAGGAGTGCTGTTTCGAAGGGATACATGCACCCCAACGTTTATAGCAGCACTATCAACAATAGCCAAAGTATGGAAAGAGCCCAAATGTCCATCGATGGATGGATGGATAACGAAGATGTGGTATATGTACACACTGGAGTATTACTCAGCAATCAAAAAGAAGGAAATCTTGCCATTTGCAACTACATGGATGGAACTAGAGGGTATTATGCTAAGTGAAATTAGAGAAATACAAATAAAGGATTTCACTCATATGAGGACTTTAAGATGCAGAACAGGTGAACATAAGGGAAGGGAAGCAAAAATAATACAAAAACAGGGAGAGGAACAAAACATAAGAGACTCTTAAATATGGAGAACAAAGAAAGGG